TTGTGGCAATCCCTCTATTCTACCTGTGTAATTTTTGCATGGATTCATCACCCTCCATTCTGCTGATGAAGTACCTGTACAACTATTATCTTTAATTATTTCTGGAGGCACAGTCTGGCACTGCCATACCAAATTAGCAGGACACACATACATGCTGGAAAAACCTCAGACTTCATTATTGCATTGTAATTCAATGAGACTTTCCAGCCTTTTTTGGAAATCCATGTTCTCACCATGAATTGTTAAGCCATTATAACAGCCAACTTTTCTGTATTTGAAAAAAATTCTGAGGTATAAATTTACTTGTATTTATGCAAACTTGGAGAATTCTGAAGCCCACTCTTATTGGCCCATTCCATCTAGGATGCTTGCTGTGCAATCTAGGCAGTGGGGAAAAGAAGAAAATTAACTAGGCACATATATATATATATGTGTGTGTGTGTGTGTGTGTGTGTGTGTGTATAGCCTGTCCTTGAGGAGATTTCCTAAAAAACTGTTGTACAGTCATAAAATAATAACAATCCTGTCGCAAGATAATGAGACAGAAACACTTAAAATCCATTATTTACTTTGGACATAATGATTGGCAGGGCTGTTGCACATCGAGTGATCTTGTACTAGAAAAGTAATGAATTCACATCTGACCTCTTCAGTGCTGTGAGTTATTTTCTGTGAGCCTGAAACACACTCGTTCCAGTAAGAGCATGTTTGTTTTCTTTAGTTTTGTTCCTCTTAAGTTCACTATTTAAATGTTTTAATAGGCTCTTCCTCATTACTGCAAGTCTTCTAAATTAAAAAACAAAAGTCAACTCACGTAGCTTTGCAATATGGTAGTTGCTTTATGAGGTACCATAGCAAAATTCAGGCTGCACCATGCCCACACTGTAATTTGGGGATGTATAGGTCCCAGGCCATCAGGAAGCTCGTGGTGGATCTTTCAGCACTCAGCCTCCTGCCTGAAATCCACAGCAAGGGTAGCACCATAAATATTTCAACAGAGACACCAAGAGGGAGCAGCACTTTATAGTTCTTTGTGCTGTGTTCAACCAAAGCCAGTTTGAAGTTGCAAATAAGATGTTTTTAAGTCATTCTTCTAAATAACTACCAAATAGGTTATTTTTCAGTGCTAAGCAGCCACCACCACCATCCTTTAGGCACTTTCTATCTGTGGTTGTTTTCTTGTCCTTAGACAGCCCTACTTTTATTTTGAAGATGTCACAATAACTACTTTTGCATTGCACCTTGCACAACCGGGCCTTGGATTTATGATAATAGTATTGACAGCAGTTGTAAGGATGTTTTTTAAGCTTTCCTTGAGTGAGCTCCCTGCTGCACAGCAGCTTTCAATCACAAGCAGGACATAGTTGAATTATTCAGATAGGATTTCGCATGCTTATTCAGTTCTGCCATGGAGGCAGTGACTGGCATGAAATCACCTTAGCAGTGGCTGCTATGACCAGGAATAAGGAGCTGAATAGGAAGTGTCACTCCAAGCTGACTATCCTGTAACGCCTCATAGAGAAAGAAGCTTTTAGGGGCTGACCCTAGAGGGCTGAAATTCGTCATTCTGTCCCTTCTTCCTTCCCCGTCCCTGTCTGGATTGACATTGGCAGAGGGAAAGCTTGCTCCCCTCGGTAAAATTTGCATTGTGAGTCTCAATGAGTACTTGTTCTATCTCTAAGGCAGTCAGCTGCAGCACTCAGCCTGCCTAGTGCTGCAGTGGGATGTGGCTTGGGCTTGGGCTCAAAGGGAGCAGATGTTTGCTGTGCTGCCTTATGTTGATCACCTTTACAGATATCCAGTTTGATACCACTCATCTCTCATAGAAGGAATTGTTCCTCTTTTTTGCAGCTGGTGGAAAGTAGGCCCTGCAGGTTTGATGTGATATTGTTTGAAATACATATCTCTCAACAGTCTTCAGGGCAGATCAGTAATTATTGATGTTTGTTTACTTAACATAATAGTCACATACAAAGACTGCTTATTTCCTGGCTGAACTTTTAGGGTTTTGGATAACTTTCTATGTTTACATTTTAACTACTGAGCTCATTTTTTCCTATGGATGATGCAAAACACTAACAATTTATTTCACACTCTACATGAAGTGATTATGCCAATGCACCTGCCTCAGGTGGGTGGTTTATGTACTTAATCAGCCAACATAAATTGCTTTGAACACAGCTCACTCTTGCTGGCAGCCAGCAGCAGGTGTAGATTAGATGAGCATTTTGTCTCAGCTGTTCTGGTTTAAATTAAGACAACAGAAGATCAAATGTAAAGCAAGGCACAACATTAATGTGATGCAAGCTCAAAAGGTTTATGCATTAAAGTCATCTGGGACCAGGTTCAGTCACATGAACTACAGCAATGATGAAGTAGTGCGTAAAACTTCCATTGAATACCAGTTGCCACAGCTGAAGAAATCATTTCAGATCATAAAATAAATGGTTCTTTCTCGTTACCTCTATCTACTCACCTGCTGAGTTTACAGAAGACTGTATTTTAGTACTTATCCCATATTCAACATTTGTAAAGCAGGTTATATATAGGTTACTTGGATTCTACAGCTTTCTCTATTCACTGTGTTCAGAATGACTTGCTTTTCTCATTTAAAGAAAGCCATGGAGTATTAATCTTTTTCTTCAATTATTGTTGAAATGACAGGTTTTCTTACTTCTGCTGTCATGTCTGACTACAGTGAATCCCTCCTCTGTTTCCCTAACAAAGCAAGGCTCCTGCAACCATGCTGTCTCAGTAAGTACATGTTTATCCCTTATGTCTAGCCACAGTAATTTTGTAACTTGTGGGCTGTTTTCAACTCAACTTGACAGAGTAGGAGAGATTGCAAAGGCAGTTTGATTCTTCTAAGACTGGGAAAATTAGGGATACAAGAAGCTGGGGGAATAGGCAAGTGCTCTGAGGAAGGATTTCCAGCACGACTGACTTGCCATTCCCATGGGAGAGCATTGCCTGGCAAAAAGCTGCTGCTGGAGCTAGATATCAGCCATGAGATACCTGGGTATCCTGATTTCTGCTGTCCTGTTGACTTTAGTTACCCTGTTCACATAAGTCAGGAGAGTTAGAAAATCAGGCTGCTTGGTGGACGTTCTGCATCCATCCAGTTAAGATCAATACAGAGACAAACCTGGCTCTAGCTTCCTCTAACTCCTCTTCCTCTCTGCCTGTTCCCCCTCTCTCAGAGGAACTCTGTTCTCTCTAGCCTCAGGGAGCTCAGGTATTTGTGTAGCTTAGTTTTTTTTGTTCAAAAAGTTTGCAGTATTCAGAAACTAGTAATAAATACTGCTCTCCATTGCACCAGAAGCAAAGGTCCTATGCCCTGAGACGTGTAATTCCACTGTCATGACCAACACAGATGTACTTGAAGCTCTCTTTAGTTTTGTCATTGCTAAGGTATTGCGTGTATATGTGCTGTGTAGAAAAAAGCAAGGAGATAAAACTTGTAGGTGGTAACATAAAGATGTGTTGGAAAAGTCAGCAAAGAAGAGTCCAGGTTTGCTTGTGTTAAAGTGCTGAAACAATATATGAAGATAAATAGAGGGAGCAAATTCACAGGGTAAATATTTTTCCCAGTTATTAATAAATGCAGACGAAAGTATTTAATATTCAAATGCTGTGAAAGCCATTTGCTCATTGTCATGAGTGGCAAGCACTTGATAACACAAAATAAGCACCTCATCCTCCACCGCTGCTCATGCGTGCACAATTCTTCCCTTTTAATTCAGCAACACTAATTATCTGAATTACTGACATTAGCTTGAAGCTATGGATTTGCAGATTGAGTATTGAGTCTCTGCCTTTCAGAACAACTTCTTTAAAGGAATTAGTCATGTCTAAGTACAACAGATCTGTCAAATTGCATCCCCTGGCATTGTCTGACGTTTTTCTTGCAAAGCTAGCCTAGTGCAAGACTAGTCCTCGTGGCAACAGACAGTGGTTATCCTAATTTTATGGCTTTGACAACCCTAAAATGGTTCATAAGGGTTGGGCAGTTACCTCACTAGCTGATAGCAGATGGTAGCTGATAGCACTTCACTTTGCCTTCCACCTCACTGATGGACTTTGTCATCCCCACTCCAGGGATGTTTGCTGCCTATCTGAAAACCAGTCCCTGAAATTCCCCCCATTTTTGTTTAAAATGCCATGCAGGCATGAAAGCTGCAGTTAATGCACAGATAGATCACCAAACTCTGCCTTGGCAGCAATGACACCAATTAGAGAGAGGGGCAGGAAAGAGCAGTACTTCAGGAACTGGCTTACAAGTGATGTGGGAATCACTGCCTGCAGAGTTGCAGCTTCTCTGGGACCAGCAAGATGCTCAGCTGGAGCAGGTACATCCTCGGGGTTTTACTGCATAGTCACTTAAAATAAAAGGCAGTGCTTATCCTTACAGCCTTGCATTTTGCTATAAATGAAGAGTTTCAGTAACACTGTCGTGTCTGTGCTGCTATTGAGGAAAAGACTGGAATGTTTAGGGTCAGAGCACTAGCTTGTCCAAGGATGAACAGTGCAGAGAAGGCAGGCAGCAGGGACAGGCCATGACTGTGGTCTTTACTCTATATATCACTTGTCACCCCTTATCTTTGAATGAACTGTTCATAATTAAGTAGTGTGACTAAAGATGTGAAATCCTACATAGCAAATACTGAACTTGCACCTCATTTATCTCTTTCAAGTGTTTAATGAATTTTCAGCTTCAGCTAATGAATAATGGCAATTTCAGGCCCATTGTCCTGTGCAGGGAAGTTAATAACGGCCTAAGGATAGTTTCATACCTAGGATCATGGTAGAGATTGCCAAAAAGCCAGAATATGGATTTTTTTCTAGAAGATCCAACATTATCTTCAAATATGTTCCAGTTAATGTACAGTCCATATTTACAAATAATCCTGAAATTACAACATGCAGAATCTGCTCATTGGGGAAAAAAAGCAAGTAAAAATTGCCTTCCTTCACCTACCTTGCCATTAGGTTACCATACATTTTGTTTTCTTCAACAGGTCATCTTTATTCATGCAAAAAATTTGGCCAAGTTTGAAAGAGCTTTTAATTATTAACATTATATTAATAACATACAAAAGAAACATAGAAGCCTAATCCTCTCTTCAAAGATGTTTTGAAATAAAGTACATTAATGAACTGTTTTAATGAACAGAAAACTTCCAAGCTCAAGAACATGGCATAAAGAACATTTGTCACCATCATTTTCTTTTTAGAAAAGGAGCCGTGAATGTTTCCACCATTTCCAATCTCTGTGGAGTAAGAAAAAACATCTCACAGTAGTAGCTGTGAGTTCAGTGGGTTTTGGCACTCAAGACCAAGTACAGAAGATTAAATGAGGAAAGAGAAGCGCTGACATGAATGGATGTGTACTGCAACACTATTAGTACTTGAATAAATGAAAATGCATTGAACTACAGAAGTACACCTGAAGCAAATGTGCTCTACTTCTCTCACTCATCCAAAGTGACTGATTTTCATTTCTTATTTGCCTCTCAAAAATGTAGCTAAAGGAAAATACTGAGAAATAAAAATGTGGTTTTCAGTCACAGAAGCAGAAATATACATCTTCAATTGTTTAGTCAAAAGAATGTTTTACCTGAGAAAACTAGGCATTTTTAAACCCAACCTGCTAGAATTTCACAGTTGGTTTTCTTCAACTTTTTATTCAATTTGTCATGACCAATGTCTCAGTTCTGCATATGAATATAAAATATGCAGTATTTATGCAGAGAATTACTGTATTAATTTTGGGTTTAGACCCAAGTGGGATGAGATAAAGTCATCTTATCAATACATAATGGCAAATCCATAACATGCCATATCCTAACATGGCCAGATACAAGATGTGTAGGATTTAATAGCTTGTTGCTGGAGGTGAGTCCCAGACTGCTGTAGTAGCTCCATGTAGGATCTGATCTTGTTGCTAAAAAAGATGGAATAAATTGTTTCTAGAAAAAAAAAAAAAAAAAGCACAGAATTAATTTAAAGATACTGTCAACAGCTGCAATCTTAGGTTTTCTAGCTTTTGCAAAGGTTTTCTTCTGAAGTACAGCCCTTGAACCAGATTCCTGCATAAGTTGTATAGGTTTTCAATTTCAGAACTATCACTAATCGGGAGCAATAAGGTTGAAAAGACTTGTTTGACTTTAGCCATAATGGTTTTTGTAACTTCTAGCTTGATGCTTCTTTGCCACTATATGGCTTCTCAAAAATTCTGGATGTCAAGTCCTGTCACATTAGCATTGGGAAGTTTATTTCAGTCTGTGAGTTAACTAGCCTTGCTTTGAAATCACAAACATGCTTCAGTGGGAGTGCCTGTAAATGTGTTTGTGTAAGTGGCTTTAATCCTGTCATATGACAATCATTAGGATTATCTTTCTGGAGGCACAGCTCATCCTGGAGTCTGCCTGGCAGCTGCTGCCATCACAGCATCAGGCACATGGATGCACACCCAGAAATTAGACACAGTTAGGACTTTTCTCTGTGAGGAATTTTTCTGATGGGAAAGGCGGTGGGTTTTTTTCAGAAAACTAAGTGTCTTCAGGTAAATTTGTCATAAGGCAGAAGTGACTAATGCTATCCAGCCATATCAATATTAGAAATTGTGGGTGAATAACCTGGTGCTGCCTTGCAGTTGCCCAAGGGCATCAGCTGAAGCCTCAGCAGGAGGGGAGGTAAATTACAGCTTTTAGCTATTCTCTCCTACTTTTCTTCTGCTTACAGTGAGTGAAACTGGTGTCACCTTTCAGGTCAAACACTCGTGGAAAGCTCACTCTGAGAATCTCCAGGTCATATTCCTATCTTATAAAAAATAAAAGGTCTTTTCAAAAGCTGCAATTCAAAATTAAACTCATTTTCAGAAAGAAAGGCACTTTTAAGTCAATAAAATTCAAAACATATTCAATTCAAAGTATATTAGGAGAAGAAGTTTACCCTTTTTCCTATTGGGTGGTTTCAGTCAGACTGACAGATTGCTGTTGTAGTAACTGTTTCAAGCACTGAAACTGTTTGAGTTTAGTTCTACATGATCCTGTCCATTTTTAAGGACTGCAGTATCTTCACAGGAAACATGTTCCACAGAAATAAAGAGTGCTTGTCCAACTGAATCGTTTAGTAAAAGCTCCCTAAATTTGACAAAATGTTGTCCCAAAAAATGTGTCCATTTTTAGCACAATCCTTAACAATTTCTCTGAGACAGTTTGCCACTCTTCATTTCATGTACTCCCGTGCTGATCTATAAATACTGCTTTTACCAACTGCTATGTCTCATTCTCTGTTTTGTGCTGCTGAGGTTTTATTCCACACTGAATACAGTTTTGTCACTGAAGTAGATGAAGTTTTTTATCTTTTATTTTTCTCCTCAGGAATTGCTTTCTGTCTGCTTTTTAAATCAACTCTATAGGAAGCAGTTTAGCTTCTGTTGACTTTTAAAAGGATATCTATTCTTCGAGCTCTTAATGATCTTTTCCAAAACATACATAAAAAAGAACCCACAACGATAAAATGACCGCATTTAAATAACTATTAAACTTGGATGGTAGAAACAAATCTAATTTATCAAGATATAATTTTTTTTTTACTGTGTTGGGTTTATGACACTATAAAGCAATTGTCAGCAGTGTTGTATGGGTCAGTTTTACTTACTTTGGTACACACAGGCTCCGAGTCTATGAAATGCTCTGCTCAGAAACCCCATCGAACACGGCTGTCGAGGGATCGAAGGCAAAAGGGTCCAAGTCCATGTAGTATTGTGCTGTTTCTTTCAAGGCTGCCCACGATTCACTAACCTGAAGTAGATCAAAAGAGGAAGGAATATTCTGAGCTTTGATACTGAACAAATACAGCCCGTGACTACCGAGCAGCCCTGCCCGTGCTGATAAATCAGAAAAAATTTCCTGCCTTGACCCAAATGATTTATTTACTTTTTAATTACATGTTAATGCCAGACCCATGCTTTCTTTTCCTCAGCTGGTGCTGCAAGAGGAAAGAAGAAGATACCTGTTCAGCCACATGTCTGTATCCCCACGTGTTCTGGCTGCTGCTTGAGTCCCAGTAGCTCGGAGAATATAGGATGTGTCGTTTGAGCCGTATGAATTGATTTGCTGATTCTTCTGTCAGAAAGGGTGCTCCAAGGACACTTGAAACAGAAGCTGATAAATATTTGTAATAACAGAAAAATATGTTAGAATGTACACTTCAAAAATACCCTTATGTCCACAGAATATGGTTTTGATTCTGCAGTTTATTTAATAGAAATCAAAAGCGGTCCTACCTTAGGTTTGCAGAAAGAAATTCTTTTTTAAGCCTAAAGTTAATAAAATAAATGCTCTAAATCATTATTTAGCTGTTTAATCTGAAGTAAATAAAGTTACAACCTAATTAATACACTAATTTATTTTTAGTGCAAATTTTTCTTTCAAAAATCCACTTAGACTGTAATTGCACTAGTCTCAGGTGTGCTGAGACCCTAAAGTTTTTAAAATAATACAAACCCTACCTATGAATTTATCTATGGTTTCTGAACCTCCTGGCTTATATGTGACATTTACTCTCATTAGTATCAGCATAGAAACTGCATGCCTGGAAATAACTTTCTGAACAGAAGATATTGCACTTCTAATCTTGTTATTCCATTGCTTCAGATAGATTCTGAGATTACCACAGATCTAAGAGTCCTTGCAGACCTTAAAAAAAATATTCTTCACAAGAAAAAGGTCAGAATTCCTCTTTAGCTTCATATGAAAGGCCCTGGTACACAAAAAAAAAATATTTCTTTTTATTCTCAGGTGTTTGAGACATAAATTAATCTTGTGACATAAATTAATATGGGGCTAAAAGAGTGCAAAATAGCACGTCAGTCCAAATCACACAATTTTTAATAAACCACTGATTAGGATGAAGCTCACATCCTTCAGCCAAGCTGAGGCCAGTGGCTGTAAACAGCTGTGCTCCAATTTAGTGAAGTGGGTTTAAATGGACACTTGAGGGTGACCTGCACATACCTGGAACAGAAGGGCCAAGAACTTGAACCTTTGTCTATTATGTCTTAGAGTAGGAGCTCAGCAGGGCAAGCTATCACCTCACAGCTCTCCAATTCCCTGATTCCTGAATTTCTAGGGAGAAAATCTAACTGGGAGTATCAAATGTTTTCTTTCATGTGAAATGTTCAGCTGAATCCAGTTCAATTGTAATTATTGCTGGCTTTCCTGATCATCCACAATATAGTTGCTTTTTGGTTTTTCAATAGAAAAAAAACATTTGCTGAATGCATATAGGTAGAAGATATGTGAGCTAGAGTGTTTGCTTTTCCCTTTCACTTCGTTTCTTTTCAGTGCCAAAAATGCTTAAAAAGACGATGAGATAAAGCTTGGTTATACAGTAATGAACAAAAAAAAAAAGTGAGGGTGGTTGTCATCTTTTCTCTTAATATAGACATCAAAGAGTACTTTAGAAAAGTTACTTAGCAAGCAATCACAGTCCCAGTAGTTCCTTCCTACTTCAGTTTCTTCATATTCCAAGTTACTATAATCATAAATTGAAGGTAGAAGTCTTAGGGTAGGGATTTTTCAAGGAATGCCATCTTCAGAAATGTTACCAACTCCATGGAAAAACGTAAGTTCAGAAATTTGGTGGAAAGCTGGGAAAAAGGAAAATATATTTCATGCATATGTCTATTAAGCTGCTATACTTGCATTTTAGAGCTGCACAGGAGAAAACAAAGATTGTGCCAAATTTCAGTATTTCTCTGGCAATTTACTGTTTTCAAATAGAAAATTCTATGAGCTGTTAATTTCTCTTAAGTGAATTTGGGGATTTTTTTTTTAATATAAAATATTTTTTAAGCTCATAATTACATTTCTAGACTGAGATAACTGAAGTGGGATCAGAAATTGACTCATTAAAAGCTTCAGTTTTCTTTAAATGTACATACAGTTAGTAAGGGCCATTAAACATTACATTTTATCACCAATATGTGCTCTGGCCTTCCAGATCTGAAATAAGCTGCAAAAAAAAGATCATTAAGCAGCTCAGTTTCTTGTGGATTTTTTCCTTGCTTTTTATAAATACCTACACCTCTGCAAGAACTCCAGTGTGATAATTTCTAATTATCATTATTATCATAATTTCAGTGTGATGTTAATAAAATGGCTCATGGTGCATAAAATTGAGCTGGAAAATAGATAAAGAATTTCAAGCTGTACTGAAACAGTTAACTCACCATGAAGAGCAACCAGATATAATGCATGGGATTTTTTTTTCTTTTTTATTCAATATTTTTTTCCTCTCTTAGAGAAATATGTGATTTGAAAACACTTTTAGATATGAATGTCCCAGTGGGAAAATAGGAGGAATGTGCGTGGAGGGTGAAGTATTGCTGGGGTTGTATCAGCTGTTACCAGTTATAGTGTTTCCATTCATCCTCTCTTGAAGATTCACTCAGTGCTCCCACATGAAAAGCAAATTATAGAAAAAAATTGGCTGGTTTTAGCAAGCAGATGCTTAGGTCATGTAATAATTGCCTTCAGCAAATAGTTTTGTCTATCCTGTTCACCTAAAGTCATTGTCCAGAGGGAAAATTGTTAGTAGTCATTATTGTTACCATGCTTTCTCAGCATCTAATTTTGGATTACTATGATCTAAGACTAAATTTGAGGAGAGATGGTGGCACAACCTTGTCATCTTGGTCAAAAAAATCAAATGTACACTTAATCCAGCACTGAGTATATAAAACAAAACCCCAAAAGTGATAGATAAAAGATGATAAAAGTCTGATTATGAAAAACACATCTCAAATATCTTGGAATGTCAAAGTAATAATAAAAAATATCACAGAATAGCAAGAAAACTGCACTCAAAATAGAAAATCAACCTGGATACTGTGCTTTAAAAATCTTTTCATCTTAGACTTGAATGGAAGCATATCTCTCTTTACAAGGATCAATTTCCAGAAAGCAACATATTCAGCTGGATGCAGCCACAAAATCTTCCCAGGGAGACATCTTTTTCTGTCAGCTGAATATGCAATAATTCACTTCATCACACAATCAAAAAGGTGATTATAGGATTAAGTTTTGACACATTTGCCTGCTAAGGGACCTATTTAATTGAAACATATTTTCTTTTGTAAAAGTTAAGTAGCAAGAGTCATTGTGTGCTTAGTTGTCTGGGAAGAGCAGGCAGGCCACCATTTGCACGTCTAATGGCAGAGTTTAATGGTAAGAAGAAAAATCTTCAAATCTGCCTCAGTATAGGATATGGTGCTTCTTCCATTTTCTACCCCAAAGCCTGTTTTTATCCAGATTAGCAGTATTGTATAAGTGGTAAGGAGCAATCTCTAGGCTTAGGACCAATATTTATCCCTGATGTGCAACTACCACAGGGAAAAGTGGTTTATCTCTGATTTGTTGTGATATTTACAAAAAAACCTGTTAATTATTTAGCAGCACTTCAAACACTCTCTGTGCACACTATTGTTTCTCTCTAGTTTTGGAAGACTTGCAAGTTTCTGACAACCTGAAAATATATTGCTTAAGTTGATATCAATGGAAATTAAACATCAAAAGTTGGCAATTTCTCTGTCTCCTTTCCTTTAGGTATAACTCTTCTTATCAGCTATGGTGACTCTGGTCAGAATCTCAGCTTATGGAGGTAAGGCTGCCAGTCTTATCAGCTCTTTAGGACAGAGCTTGGACAGAGGCTAAACTTGGACAGAGCTAAACTTCAACCTTGCTGAGGTGGCAGGTGCTGACGTGTTGGGAACTTTGAAAAAGTAAATCAAGTCTGCAGCTCAGGTGTGTTTCCTAAGGCTAGAAGTGAGCCAGAATGGACCACCTCCCACCATGTTTCAGCTGTCTGAATTTCTAAAACTAAATTCACAAAGTCTGACCACAGGACAAGGTCTGAGGACTCAGAATAGCACAGTACAACAATGCAAATGCTGAAAAAAATATGGCAACAGCTGCTTCTCTCCTCACACCAAGTATTTAGATTATGTGGCATTCCTTGGAAATCAAGATGTGGTTATGTGTCAGAACACTGCATAAATGGCTGGATTGCAGCAAGGATAGACTTGTGGATTCTGCAGGCCACCTCTGGCCCAGATATCACCTTTTTTCAGTTGAAAAGTGCGATTATATTAAAGTCTAATGCCTGTGCATTGCTCTTTTCAAATTATTGTAAAAAATGTTTTTATGTACATAGGCTTTGTATTCTGGAGTGTTTGGATGGTAACAAGCCTTAAAATAGAATTCAATCAATCAGATTTGCTAATACCTGTTGACAGCAAGATTTAAAGTCACTGATTTTTAAGTGCTTCAACTCTACCAATAACATCCAGTCTTTGAAATTTTGGCCTCATCTGTTTCTTTTTCAAGCTTGAAGTAAAACATACTTTATTCTTTGACAATTCTTAATTTTATATCACAGTACACAAGAGCTCTCTGGTTCAAGAGACATCATTAACAATCCTTAGAGTTACAGCATCAGCCTCATCAGCAAAGTCAGAGAAACTATACACAATGCAGAATTAGCTATTGAACATATTCAATATGATGCCAGGGCTCAGGATAATTTTCAGGTATGGGTAAATAGCAAGTCAATTTGGCAAAAATCCTAGGGAAGGAGCTACTTCCACTGCAGCAAAGTATTAGAAAAAATACCAGTGCATTGGTCCACTCAATGGGCCCTGTTGAGATTTCCTTTGTACATCCATATGTGGCAAAACACCCCCATCAGACACCTGAGAGACTTCAGCAATTATCTCAGTGCCAAGACACCATACTCCTACCCCATCCCTTGCTGCTGGACTCTCCAGAGGCTAAAGCAAAAGGTCCAGAGAGCCTATTCCCAGCACTGACTGTAGTTTACTATGAGGAGTGGTTTACAGAAGCTGAAATGAAGACATGAAGAAAAATAAAGTTCTCATGAGAATCTTATAATCTCTGTTTTACTTCACCACCACCTTCATTGTTGCTGAAAGAATTCACTATTAATGAAAAACAACTGATTGTGATCAATGAAACTTTTAAGAGCTCATTAAAAATTAGTAATAAGTAGTTCTTCGTGTATTTTGAAGAATAGAAACCTGGAAAAGAGGGAAAACAAGAAAAAAGACATAAAATAGATGAAAGTAAAGTCTTCCAGATGGAGGAGCTGCAAGCTATTATGCTCCCAGCTTGGCCTTGGGTGACACTGTTTGTGTTACAAACGGCTTTCAGTGGAAAGGAGGTGAAGTTCAAGAAGATAGGCAAGTACCCAGGAATTGTCCCAGTTCAACTGTAGATCAGGAAGGACAAATAAGGGGGAAAGGTTTATAGGTGAGATCAAACTTGCAGAAGACAAAGTCCCTTTCCATCTTCTTATTTCCCTGCAGAGCCTCACTGTAGCCAAAACTCAGGTTCATATGGCATGGAAGAGAATTCAACCCATGATAGAGATTATACCTGACTGTGGTTCCAAGTTACAAAACCTTTTTCAATAATCCACTATTAATCATTGTCTCTTCTGCCTTAGCTATTCACATAATGTATTTCCTGCATGTGTGTTGGAGCACTCAAATCTAAGAAATGCTTTTAATGCATGCATGTGGATAGACCATCTTGTCAAGATGCAGGCAATCACTTGGGAAGTCAGCTGTCACTTATTGCCTGCCTGGTTTGTTTTAATTTTTTGAGAAACAAATTAATCTCGCAGCATGTGCATCAGTGATCATTGACTATACCAGTGTGTGCTGCTTTGGGAAGAGTGTGTGGTAGCCCTGCCCCATCCATTTTCCCTCTGATCCAAGTTTTACAGGTTGGGTCTTGATTGTAGATGCTCTGGTCACACAGTGCTGAGAAGGATCAGCATTCAGACAGCCTGAGTGCCTTAAAACAATCAGTCTCCTTAAGAAATTCAAGTCAGGCATTCCAGAAATCACTTGTGAAATAGATTATTTTGGGTCCTTATAAATGCATGTGCAATTGTTTCCTACAAACAATAAATGTTGAGGTAAGAATAATATTTAGAGAAAATTTCGTAGAAACAGCATCAAGTTCTTTTTACAGTTTTAGCAGTTCAGGAAATCATCCTGTAAGAATGTTTTTCTGTCAGAAATGCATCCTTCCTCCTGATACAAGAGCAGTAAAAGGCTCAAAAGCAGCAACGAGGAGCAGAATCAAACTGTATTTCACAGCATTTGCCATGCAATCTTGTGCTCACCCTCTCTCCTGTATGTCCCTGATGCAGTGATTTCCAGTAAATTCTCTTCCATCACTGCTGTTCTTGGGGTAGCACAGGCGTTTTCACCAGCTGACTATTTAACAAGCCTGAAGGGAATGACATGAGACAGGATGCCAGGCACTTACCTGTAAACAGCAGAACAGACACCAAAATTTGAAACATTTTCAGAGACATGGCAAATTATTCAGAAAGGGTTTCCTTTGTAAAGTGAAGAGAGCGATAGAAGGAGAAAAAGAGGTTTTATACTTTGTTATCTTTAGGTTTATAAATCATTTACCAGATATGTGTAAAGGGCTGGTTCAGGCAGAGGGCAGGGTACAGTGCTCAGTTCAGATTTGTCCTAAATGCCTCTGTTTGTACACTTTGGACTTTGCAAGCTGAACCTCTAATGAGCCATAATGGCTCATTATTGTGTGGATGCATTTACTTCTTCATAAGTTTTATGATGCAAAGTACCACAGTGGGCTTGTTCTATGAGCATTTAACAGGTAAGCCTCAGTGAATCAGTCTTTTGCATGACTATTTCCCTGGTGACAGGAACAAGCAGTTTATAGTTTGGTGCGAGTATGAAAGGTGTTTGAATCCACCTGCTCTGAGAGCAGTGCCTTCTATTTCAGATGCACACTGCTTGGTTTAAAGGAATAAACCAATGACAAAATTTACTGAAAAAGTACTAAGCAGGGGAGAAATTTGGTTTCTGACCTGAACCAGGCAGAGGTGCCAGAGTGTCTCGTTGCCTGCTGCTGGTGTTAGGACTCTGCAATGTGGGACACTATGAGGTCATGCTGCCTTACCTTTCCCACCTGTCCAGATAGCTGTTGCCTGTTTATGTACAACTCACCTCTTGGCAGCAGCAGGTGGTTGTACTGAAGAGCAGTTTATCTTCACAAGCTCACCTAGACTGACTCAGCAGAGCAGAGAAAAGCTGAGCTCTGTCCCACGTTGGCATGCTTTGATCCGCAGTCCATCAGCACAGGCGTGCGTGTACTCCCAGCTCTGTACGTCAGGAATCATCAGACCCTGCTGACATTACAGGTCAGGGACCAGACTCTGTGCTGATGGGCAGGAGTGCTTCATCCTCATATCCACACTGAGAACCATCCAGTCTAGAGAGTGCATGGAGTAAAGGTTTGTTGGCAAGCAAAAGAGCATCTAGTTATGTAGTTACAAAGCCTAATAATTTTTTATTACACATGGGTGGGTAAGAGGGGATACTACTGAGCAGCAGGTCTAACAGTGTAATCCTTAACCTTCCTGTAGGTCATGTCACAATTTTAGTATTATTTTAGTATTGTTCTAAAAAAAATAAAGTCAATCCATCCACCCCAGGATGCAGATTAAATATTCTGGTGTTCTGCATTCTGCTGCCATATTAACAACAAATATTAATTATACAAACTGATGATCAGTTTCCCCACCTCTGAGCTACTATATTAAATGCTAGATATCAGCTTTTTTGTGGACTAGAAAAAAAGGTGTAATGTCTGCAATATTTGCTAATAGGTGACAAAAAACTCTCAAGAACTGTCGATCCCCCAGAAATAAGTTCCAGGAAAGCAAAAGTTATCCTTTCACCTCACAGACTTTGTGGGCCGTTGCCTCTAGCCTTTTCCCACACTTTTTCCTTAAACAGGCCTGCCTTTCTACTGCAGCTTTCTTCCCACAGGTTTTTCCTCACAGTTCCTGATATAATGACAGGGAGAACATGTTGGTATATTTATTGCAGTTATGTCTCCTTCAATGTGCAGCCTGCTCACAGAGACCACTGCTAGTGATGTGGCACAGGTGGAGAGACAAGAGCAGCGAGCAGGAGATCACAGGGAGGTATGCTGGACTGGCAGCAAAGACCCAAGTCACCTACTCCTCCTATTTCATCTTAGGAAGCAAGAGGAAGAGATGAGAAAGTTTTTTCAGGAGCAGGAGTTGAAAAAGTGGCAAAACAGTTAGAGGCCATAGATCATCCCAACTGATCCAGAGTAACCTAAGTCCAGGCTCCCAGAACATAAAAACAGCCTTGCTCTATGATTTCCAAATAAAACCTGGAGAATATGACATATCCATATCCTTTACTGATGAAGCCTTGTGTCTGTTATGGGAAAAGTCCTCTCAGGGGCACACAATAACTTCCAGTAGGGTCACAAAACATGATGGGGATGTTGTACAGCCTGGATTTGGCTCTGAGTTCAGAACACAAGACTTTATCAGCTGTAGAGTGGAGCAGTGGTCAGCCAGATTAGTTTATGATACAAGATCTGGCAAGCAGCTAAATTACAGATAGCATGTTCCCTAGGACATAGAGATCCATGACACCTAAACACACCTCCAGTTTTCCTTTGTTTCATCCTCTATCCTGCCATGTTTGCTTCTTGTCTGATTCAGGCCTTGGTGCTGGCCCACACTCCGTCTTGTGTCGGCTGCCCAGCTCTGCGCTCTTCCCCTCAGACACATCTTCCCTCTTGTTGTGTGCTTTGCAATTTCACATAAAATGACGTTATGGCCATAAAACCCAGCAGCTTCAGACTGAAGAATTTATAGGTCTCTTATGAGGAGAGTGGGTTTCCAGGGCGACTTCCCTTTCTTCCTTCCTTCGGTTTCCTGTTTCCCATATTGACAAGGGGTGTTCAGCTCTGAGGTTCACTCCCTCCCTACCTCCTACCCCAGCCCTGCTCTTGCCAAGTCTCACTTCTGCCTACAATAGCCAATGTTTTTCCTGAAGCCCTGTAATGTATACGTAGTTTGGGGTTTGCATATGCCCTACTGGCTCACATACAAAAGTTTTCAGAAGACAGATGAGTTCTTAGCAGTTCTTTGAGGGCATTATATAGGCAATCTGGATATCACTAAAAACCCATGAAAAGCATGAATTTATTCATTGAATGTAAAATTTTAGCTGTTAATCGCTAACAGATATGCAGGCTGTAATTTTTTAGAAGATTTGCAACTTGGCACAATGGCTCAAATTTTCAGATGGAGGAATGAATCATTGTATCATTCTCTTATGATGCCCTCCCTCTCCTGTCAGACTTCTTTTCCTTGCTTTAAAGCATGGAAAGCTTAGTCAAAGGAGGTGTCATCAGAATATTCAGTGCAAATTAAACTTCCCCACACACATCCTTATCTCATTTGCAGAAATTATCGAGATGTGGGCTAAAGTGGTTCAAAAACTTTCAGCTTGATGCAGATACCTGACATAGTTAAAAAAAAATAAATTAAAAGCTCATACCAAATTATAAAAGTTTAAATGAGCTATATTGGTGAGTGAAAGTAGGACTAGCTGAAGGGTCATTTTAGGCAATCTACAATGCTACCAGACTTACCAATAAGGTGTGTGGCAGACTTCAAACAGCAGAAGTCTGTTAGGGAAAGATCTGACCATTTTTCCTTTTACATTTCATAACCTTAGACAATAAATCACCATTTCAGAAGAAAGATCTGTGTTCTTTCCCTAATGGTATCCATTATTTTTCTTTAAGGAAAAAAAGTAAAACTCCTAACCTTAGCTGATTATAAATGAAACTGTTTTAACAAGAAAAGGATAAAAAGAGGTTGGACTCATCTTAGAAACATCCCGAGGAAGTTGATGGTGACTGGCAATACAATGAGGTCTCCAGTTCCTTGAACTAATTTTTATGTAATTTTCACAGGTGGAGTAGTAGCAAAATATTTGAGAGGGCAGCTGAATACCCTTAATATTACTTGTTTCTTCAAGCTGATTGAAAGCAGGTAACACAGAAAGTTATTGGGAAGGAGAAGGTAGGTAGGAAATCTTAGTTGGAGTGGGAACAAAAAGCTGAACAGCTTAAGCTGGAAATTCCATATTCTTTCTCTTCCTTGGCATCAGTTTCTCATCTCCCTAGGAAGCTTAATTCTTTTGGTTCAATTTCACCAGCTAAGTATAACGCCAGTCTATAAGAATTTGTAAACCACTATGTAACTATTGAAGAATGTAATCTTCTGATATATTTAATATGAAATTCCTCATTTGTTTTAGCTTGTCTAACACTTGCCAGTTCTCTTTGTTCATCTCTAAGACATCTGATTTAAGTAGATATGCCAACACCAATGTTTAACTTCAGGTTTTGTGTATCTGAAAATACCTGTTGCGTTGCTGTGGTATCTTTTTGAAGTAGAGACAAAACAAGAACTAGGTAATATTTAAAGGAACATAAAATGTATGGGAAAACCTCTCTCAAAAGAAAAGGACTAGGGAGAGGGAGAAGAAAATAGTGACCATTGCTGTTGTGACCAGCACACACCTCTACAACCACCACGTAGCTCAGGACTTGAAATCAGAGGCAGTAGCTTAGTGTTTAGTGTTTCTTCACTGATTCTCAACACCTCAGTTGTGTAACCATTTCTAACATCCATTGATGAATTAGGTGCACTGCTGAACCCTGCCCCTGATCATTATTTGGCCAACATTTCTTCTGTTACTTTTGTCTCATGGGAAGAGCCTGAAACAGATTCTACATCCTGTTTCTTGCTTGGTGGAAAGGCAGGCAAGGAGTCTGACCTGTTTTTGGTGTGGTGGCTGCTGCAGTTCAGTAGAAAGGATGATCCTTGGCAGGAGTTTTGAGAATGCACTCTGTGATTTGCAGCATTTTGGGTCAGCCACTGATTCCAGTGAATGTTTTCTATATTCTGCCCCAGAGCATCTGAGCAGTGCAAGCCTTGAAAGACACCTGCAGTCAGCCTGGCACTGAAGGCATGTAGCTTGGGGCAGCACTGCTTCCAGCCATGGCAAGTAGTGCAGGAGAGGACTCCTGTCCAGAGTCATCACTGCTGACTGATCTACCTTTAGAAAATATTCCCCCCTTACACAAGGTACCAAGGTGATGGTGTAAAGGCAGTTTGTATAAATCTGTGTGCTGTGGAATTGAGCTATGACCCAAAGGCAGGTCTAATGTGAGCAAGTTAATGGATCTTTTATTAGCCATTACTTCAAATATCTGTCATGCTTTGAAGTAAGCCTACTGGCACATGGTGAGGTATTTAACACAGCAGGACTGTGCAACTTCTGACTTGGAGGTGTGCTTTAGTTCACTTTTTTCTTCCAACCAGCTACAACTCTTGATAAGCCCATGTATGCCAATGATGAACAGCACCACCAGTCCCAGCCTGCTGCTCTTGTGCTTAAGCACTTTTGTTCCTCTTATAGTTACAACTCCCAGGGGCACAAACAACTCTCTCTTCATGGTGGCAGAAGGCATGAATGCTTTATCTCGACTTGTTTTCCCAGAATTGCGCTGTGTAAAACTCTTACTTTGCAATGGCACATACTCCTCAGATGACCAGTTCCAGGAGCAGATTGTGCCCCAGTATTTGTGCAGCACAGCCATGTCTGAGGCAGAATCCCCACACTGGTCTGTACTCCCTCTGGGTTTCTGGGTGTGGATAATACTTTAATAATGTCTTGTTCTTTCCATGGCCACAGGCATTTCAAGCTCCCTACAAGTATCACCCACAGGCTCAGATCTTGTCCTTTTCTTAACATGTGTTGAGTGACCAGCAAGCACAACTACTGATTGTGGTTTCCATCCTCCAGTTGGTGCAAAGTTTAAGAAAGGATGCCAGCATCCAGATAAGTTGACTAGAAAGCTAAACACAGCTTTAAATGATCATCTAGTTCCCAAAGTCATGACCTTTGTGCCTGACTGTAATGCCTAAGAAGTATATTTCTTGTTGTTGAGATTTTAATGTCTGAACTTCTAACATCCTTCTCGGAACATTTCTTATGGTACAAACAGTGGTTTTCTAGAATTTCAGCAACTTCATTATGCTTCACAATATGACTGATTTGGTACCTGTTGAGTGCCTTTTTTTCATGGGATAATAGGTGTCTTCAATGTAGAGTGAAGTTCGAGGAGCAACAAGTATGTGGATTGCCTAGATTAACCAGTGAACTCAAGTACAGGTCCCAAGGTGTAACCAAGTGACCTGCTTAGTCACCCCCACTGATAACTCAGACTCTGGCCTTGTTCTCAGTGCATCTGAATGCAGCTCTTCCAACGTAACAAGAAAATACAGTGGCATGAGTGCCCAAGAAAGTAGAGCAGTCTGCAAAATCTCCAAGAGGCTGTCAGTGCTTTATCATCTGAACGCTTTCTTCCTATTCTGCAGAAGATTATGCAGTCTGGGTGCCTTTTTCTATTTAAACTTGAGGTTTCTACTTTAAAAGCCCTCATGGAAGCATGACCTGTAGTTCTCAAGGCAGCAGCCAGAAATTGTCACAGCATTCCAGAGAGGTTGCTACCGTCTGATCTTGCTGCAGTGTAGATATTAGCTGACAGCTCTTGGAGCCATTCTAATCCATCACTCCTGATCCACAATGGAACAATTCAATGGACAAAACACACACCCCATGATCCTCTTGATGTAGCTTAGAGCAACATCCAGAATCTTCTGTGTGTTTTTCTTGCCTTTCTGCCAGCAGTGATGTAGGAACTGTGGTAGCTGCAACTTGAAACAACTTTAAATACATAACTTTTTAAACCACCCCCCTCTGGAAATTAATATATATTGCTTCCCCTGAACAGATTTGGGATGGTGTTTATGAAGTCAAGATGATCTAGGCAGGGCAGGACCTGATGAATATGCTCCCTCTAACATGATTCCTTGGAGGCAAAGCATGTGGATACCATTTCTCAGCTAAACAAATAAAGCTGTTGGGAGTGTCTTGTGCTGTCACCCCCTTTTTACTTACGTAGTGCAGCAGTTCTAACAGCTATAAACAAACAAATGATTTAGCTTGTCATAGAGTCAATTTTTATTATTTCTTAAAAGCTGAATAACATGCAGCCAGAATTGACTTTGATGTATAGGACAGAGCATCAAACCGTAGCCTGCATCCTCACTGTCCTGTCATACAACTGGGAAAATTAGTGTCCCAATGAGAAATAAGAAAAATTCTATAGCTAGAGCAATATAAGGAGCATTTTAGCACTGTCAGAAACTACAGTAGGAATTAACTGCTATTGGTGTGATTTATGCCACAGGTGTATTTAACACAGTCAAGCTAAATTCTTGTTCTGTGAAGTCTGTCTGTTAATCTGGCTTCAATCCTCCTGTCACCTGCTGTTGCTGAATGTGAGAAGAACTGATCCTTATGTGCACTTGGAAGATAAGACTTGGGTTTGAATCTCATTATGCTGGTAAAACAGGGATAGATTCCCTAAGAATGGAGCTATACAGGTATGAAACATGGTTAGATCTTTCTAATTATAATAACACAAGTCTGCATAGCTCCAGCTCTTCATAGATCATTCTGTCACACTATCACAAAAGGAAGGGAGTATTCTACTAGATTCAAAAAAATATATATTAGCCTTACAACTCAGTAGAGAACAGCCCAAGCAATTTCAGCACCATTTAAAGGGTTGTAAATGGATGTACAGAGTGCAATATAAAAAAACAGGCAAAAATTCAGTTTGAGATAGAGGGTTAAATGTCTTGGTCGGCATTTTGCTGTTTAGAAATCCTTAACAGAACCCTTTAAATTCTGTGTTTGAATCACCACAAAAAGCAGCTTTTACCTGACTCAGTACATCCAAAACTGAAGATATTGCTCCTGTCCATTAATATGGCACAGTTATTTAGTACTGCTAATTATTTCTAATTCTGAAAAATATTCACATTTAATTATTTTATCTCTACTCATTACTTCCATACTGACTGCAGAGATGTTCAATAATTAGCTACAATTATGTTTTTAAGGATAATATGTATTTCATATTTATGGGGTCTGAAGTGACCATGGGAGTGAGGAAAATATCAATTGTCAGTTGGTTGATAAAAGCTTTGACAAAATCAACCATTCCCTACAAAAGTGGTACAGGAAAGGTTAATGATCTGAACAAAGTAAAATTCAAATGTTTTGGATTTCAGGTATTTCACTGTTTCCTAACGAGAAAAAAGATTTTATTGGGTCACAACCTTCATGATTGTGTTTCCTTTGCTATTTCAGCAATGACTGGTGTCTGTGGCTACTCATCTCAGGAAAATACTAAATTCTCTGCATTTCACAGGAAAAGTAACTGTTGCAATTTTATTATGATTTGTCTGATTGGTTAAAATTACAGTAATTATCAGCACTAAATCTGGGAAGGTATCACTTACTTTGGCATGATGGAGAGGCAGGTTGAAGTCTCTGAGGCTTATATCTTAATTTCCTACACATACACAACAAAGAGGAACACAGAAATCAAGGTTTATCTATAATCTCTTTCAATTGTTTCACTCAGAAGTGGCCACCAGTCATTTCAACTCACATACAGGAGACACCATTGTTAGTTGCTAGTTCATGTTGACTTGCCCTTTTAGCACAGTTCCTCAAAGAAGCAGTTCTGTCTAACATGCTTCCTGTCTATAATGACCAAACAGCACACACCTCTAAATTCCTTTATTGTCTGTGCCAATTTATTGTTTTCCATTTTGTTATTATGAGAGATGAATTTGTTATTATGAGAGATGAATTCTTTAACATAACTACCAAGAATACATGAGAAACTGCACATTGTGCAAGTTACTAGCTGAAGTTAATTCATAGTGTGAGAGCACAATAACTCAGTAGCAGTACATAGTAATACATAGGAGACATAGTAATTTTAAAATAAATTTTAATGTAAGTTAAAAAAGCAACAAAAATAGTTCCAAATTTAATTATATCCATTTTTTTTTAATCAAAAAGCAACTCGTCTTCAAGTAGTAGAACAATATTTTTTAAGTCATAAGTTCTAGAAATTTATTCTTTATATTTCAAGCATTTTGAAAGTGCAAAGTGCCTGGATTAAAGACTGAAATATCATGTCAAGATAAAAGGAAGCAGCGAGTATTATTTAACTTTCACAGTAGAGGATCCGTATTTAAGTAGGAGGTGGGAGAGAAATTTCTTATAACTATTTCCAGAAAGTCATTAAGTAAACGTGCCATGAAAACATGGTAAACAGAAACTGTTTTGACAAGGTGTTAATTCATCAGTGTGCTCCATCAGCAAAGATTGAAAACATTGTCCCAGCTTCTTAATGCCTTCCTGGTGTTCTGGAGTCAGGGGAGGGAAACAAGGTTCGTTTTAGATGTCCTTGTGTAATAAAGGGCAATACATATAATGTTATACTTCAATACTTGTCTGCTTTGTAAAAGCTAGTGTTCAACTTGCCCATTGTCAGGCTGTGTCTTGAAGTTCATGAGACTATCGAATAAAGCAACTGGAGAGAGTTTCCTGCTGTGCCTTGCCTCTTGCCACTGACAAGTCAGTCTACAGAAGACACCTGGGTTTACCTCTGCATTGTCCCTTTCCTAAGAAATAAATGTAATGCCTTGTAAAATTCTTCTACTGGCCACTTTTTCCCCCAGACTATGTGGTCTTGATGATGGTGAGACATAAGGGAGAAGAGCTGTTAAAATATATCATTAGAGGATGAGATAGGAGAAGGTGACTGTGATGAGTCCATTTTTGTGAAATCTCCTCCCATTTGGATCTGACCAGACTCTTGCAGCTGGAAATGTGAAACTCCACCCACATCAGCAGCATTCAAGTGTTAATAAAAATGATCATTAAAATGACAAAGTATCATCTCTCAAAGGCACCCTCAAACCTCACATCATTCCTGTGATGCTGTAGATGCATCCTGGTAAATTCTCTTGGCAAGTACTGGATGTTGCTGATGCATATTTAGTGAAGCACTTGCCTTGGTATGAAAATCGGATTAAAATATCAGGATCCTAAAAGCTGCATAGCAACATCTGGAAGGCCTAAGGGTTATATTATTAATTTTTAAGTGTCCCTGAGATGTTTAAATTTTCTGACCTTCCCCTTGCATCAGTGGCATTCTCTCCATTTCTCGTGAAATATTCAGTAGCTTGCCTTCTAAAGGCACCTCTTAATCCTCTCATTGTCTCTCTTGATATCAACCTTAGCTGCTGATGTGACAGCTTTTTCTAATATATATATATGTGAACTAAATGATTTGGATAAAAGCCAAGAAGCATCCTGCCTCTTGGAGAATTGTAGTAAACAGATATTTCATTCAGACCTTGCTACTCAGAGTTAAAAAAAAAATTTTAAAAATCCTAGCAACCTACTGCCTGAATGACAACTTACTTCTACAAATCTTGTTAAGGACACACAGTACTCACAGCTCTTGGTCAGTACCTCTTGCTTAGAAGCGTTCAGCATTCCTCAGCTTCCCATAGATGGGTAGTAATGGCTTTAAAGTTTAAATTACATTTATTCCTTGGTCTGGCTTTATTCCATTCCTGCAGATGACTTGTTAAAATTAAAGCTAAAGCTTTTTTGCTTTTTTGTTCTGCTTTTTTAACGCTTTTTTTCCTTTTAACACGAACTTTTATTCAGGAATCCCTCCTCACCTGGAAGAGCCAGCCACAGAGCTTTCTGGCACTGCTGCCCTCAGTCAGTGGCCACCAGTGCCATGTTGCTGACAGTGCCACTCTGCAGGCTGGTTTGATGTGCCAGACATCCATGTGCATCCCAGCTGCTCCCTCCTGCTGCTGCCCCTGGACACAGCTGGGCCAGTCCTGCTTGTACAAGCCATGCCATCAATTTGCTGAGGACAGCCCCAGGGTGGTGCACTTGGAAGGAAACCCAGCCTGCCTTCACTGCTGCTTCCCTCCTCCTCAAAGGGGAGTGAGCCAATCGTCAGTATCAGGACTGGAAGGAGGAAAGAGCTCCCTTTTCCCCACTCAGGAGGAGGGAGTGAAAGGGGAAGGAGTTTGTTCTGATTACTCCCGTGTGGGAGAGACCTGCAGCTCCAGCTCACCTTGCTAACACTCTGTCAGTGTTGACATCTACACAACTCCTCAGAGGTGGTTTTTCATAAGTCATACTTCCAAATACAAATAATTTTAAATAGTTCTGTGGATTGCTGAGAATTTTAAGGCCTTTGAAGCCACATACCAGCCCTGTCTCACAGCTCCCCCAGGCAGCCTGGTGTGGTCCTCAGGCACTCTGGGGTGAGGAAGGGGCAGTTCCTGACATCCTGTTGGGTTGGTGCTTCCAGATTCCACAGGAGAGGTCTCTAAGGCATGGTGACTGTGTGTTTGCAGGGCGGGGAAACTCCTACCCCTGCATCAAAATCCAGCTGTGCAACAAGAAAGGAATGGATAGATTAGGCAGCCCAAAAGTTTTCTTTTGGTTAAATATGTTCTGGTTCTCTTCTCTGGGGGATGTCACAAGGAAGTGCAGAGCACTTTCTCTCAAATGAATATTCAATAAAATTGTTTGGTGGTGTTTTGGTTTTGTGGGTTTTTTTGGGTTTTGTTTTGTTTTTTTGGGTTTTTCAGGGTGTTTCCTGTTTGGTTTTTTTGTGGCTTTTTTTGTGGTTTGTGTTGTTCTTTTTGTGAGGTTTTTTGTTTGGGGTTTTTTTGTGTTTTATTTTTGTTTTATTTTTGGGTAGGGGGGGTGTTTCTTTTGTTTGAGGTTTGTTTGGGGGTTTTTTTGAGAACATGGAAGGATTCATTTTTCAACCTAAAGGTCCTGTCAGTGACTTTGTAGTGTTTATTTTCAGAGTGACCAGACTTGACATATTCACTGGTAAGCACAGTGAGCCCCTTCATAGGGGAAGTGACACTAATTACCCCAAGGAAACATATGGAGAGTGTACTGGTCTGTGACCAGCTCTTCTCTTTAACACTCCTGCTGGCACTCTGTCTCAGGAGTTGAAAGCTCAGCTTCAGAAATGTCAGGTGATGACATTTTCATTTCCCTTTGAAAACTATCCCACAGTCATATGGATCTTGCCTGTTAGGAAGATTTTTTCCCCCTTTTTTTCCTCTAAACTGTTTTTAGGCTTCAAATAGAAGGCAAGTAAAACTGCATGCTTTGCATTTGTGTGCAAACTCTATTTCTTGTTATTATGGACATCAATGAGCCTGTGAAAATAATATTTCCAGGTGAGCTGTTTTCCACTGACCTTTCTACTCTTTGTCATTGGTAGAAAGCAATGTCAGCTACACAGAGCTGACATGTTCTGCCAGTTTTCTTGCTAGCTGAGCTGATCTGGTTGATTACCCCAGCAGCACCAGTTTCTGACAATAAAGATACAACCATAATTTTTTTGTTGTTATTATTATTACTATTATCAATATTATTACTATAATTATTATTACTACACAGGAGACTTTTAAAATAACTCTTTTTATAGTTCTGTGATGTCTCAGAAGCCAGCCTTCACTTGTGCTCCACCCTTCTTCCACCATGTGTGTCATTTCCTTCTCATGCTGCCAGGAGCATCAGATGTGGCCTTGAATGGAGGCCAGCGCTTGCGTGGCTCTCATCAGGTTTGAAAGGGATGCCATGAAAAGTTTCCTTTCTTCACAGCTTGCAACAAAATGAAATATGAAATATGCCCATATGTAAAACACAACTGCAGTAAACAGCAAAAAGTGGAACTAGAATAGCATTTTAACATTTTAACATTTTAACATTTCTGTTCTGCGGATGTAAGGGAAAACTTTTCACCAATAGAGTGTTAATTTCCTGAGTGTTTTGGTTTGTTTTTTGGTTTTTTTCAAATATGTAGAGGTGAGCTAAAAGCAATAACTATCATGCAAGGTAGTTACATAAGTCATGAGCTGCATAGGTAAATTACTCTCTGCTGCTGAGAGGTAAATTTATTTAAATTAATGGAATACCATGCACATAGAGTCATTTATTCTAAAAGGAAAAATATTTCTAGATCAATAAATGCATGTACATTATTTTTATTAGAAGACAAAGAATAATATGAGACTGGGGGGATTGCTTTTTATTGTTTCTAGAATGACTGCTTTATTTTAAAGGAATGAAATGTCAGATTGATCTTTAGAGAAGCCTCTCTGACTTGCTTTAAACAGTAGCACCACCACATGTCAGGAAGTGGTCAGAGGTGCAAAATACCATATTAACTCTTAATCCTCTGATCAGGAAATAAAAAGCCATAAAAGTATGCTATAAGTAAAATATTCAGTAGTTCTTGTTAATTCTATAAAACCAGTATATTACTCCCTATTTGTAAGTCAGAATAATTTTCCATATAAATATCTTTCTTATAATTTTTCTTCCTTCTTTTCTCAGTTTTAATTTCTTTTAATGTGGCTAAATTGTATAAGGTGGCAGAGTCCTCCCTGATTGTTGCATTGCCCTCTCTCCAGAACCCATATTTCATGACTTGTCTGCTGCAGCCCTTGTTGTGTTGTCCTTTAGGTTTATCTCTGCACTTTGGGATCCTCTGGCAGAAGAAGTAAAGTGAAAATCTAATCAAAACCCACAGATGTGTAAGAATTAAGTCTGGGATTCTCACACTCTCTTAGAGATGGAGCAACAGTGAGAAATCAAAAGCACTTGAGAAGGCTTTTTGCTCTGAATTCTCCACCTCTCATGCTGTACAACTATTGCCATGGAAAGCTGACCTACAGCAGCTCAGTTAGAGCAGCAAAAAAAATTGTGACATAAATGAATGTATATGACCTTTTGCTCTGAAGTTAGTGAGGGAAGAAACTTGCAAGGGATTCTCATTTATTTTCTGAAAAATATGTAGAACTTTAATTGAAACATGATCTGAGCATTAATTAATGTGCTTTATTGTTACTGAGGTATGGCTGGCACCTGAATTCCAGTCCTTGTATTTTGCTTAAATCAGGTTAAGTGTAACCATTGAAGGTCAGCTATATGGACAAGGCTATGTATGATCTAAATCCAATACTTTCAAGGAAACTGCCATCAACATCATCTCTTTGTGAGAAAAGAGTCAACACAAACTTGCATCACTGCATATTCTAATTTTCTACACAGTCCCACGCAGTTTCCTAAAGTTCTTTATTACAAATGGCTGTAATGGTGGTAACTTCCATTGGTTTGGAGGCTCTGTGGTGAAAATGTGCATAATTTTGCTGTTGTGTTTTGCAAGCTGACATGTGATTACCATTAAAGTGTTCTGGTATGACAGTGCTCGCATTCACGGATGAATTTCCCTCTCTGGGGAAAAAGTTATATGTTGTTGTAGTGGGGAGTCCTTAGCTGTCTTAAAAGTGTTTTCTGGCTTTCTCTTGCTGTGTCTTTATTTTTAAGATAACATTTGCCCTTTTTCTAGTAGCCAAATAGTGTTTTAATCAAAAAAAACATATTTTTTATTTGATAGCTCTGTTGTCAAGTAAATAATGCAAAATCTGTCTTCTGGTATCTTTAAATTTGACACAGGCTGCAAATAAGCTATTCCTAACATGGTGTTGCCAGGTATTCTTGCGAATCAGCTCCTTGTATTTAAGCCTTTAAAAGACATCAAGGATGTGGATTTTTCTAAGAAATAGAGCCCTTTATTAGCTTCAGCAGGTAGCAGTGCCTCCCATAGCTCCTGAATCTGCATGTTTATGTTCCCTTTGCCACAGGACAGTAAATCAGGCTGGTCTCTGTGAGGCCACTCAGCTCTCTGATCTCAGGTATAAGAGACTTGCTGCTAACAGTGTTTCACCTTATGCTAGAAATGGGAACACTGCCCTTACCTCTTCTGAATTCAGATCAGTGAACTCATGCTCCTGAAGCACCCAGAGCACTGTGTCAAATATAATGCAAACATTGGCTAACCTGTAATTAAATATTGTGCATAGTATAATATTAATATAACATTTATGGTCTTATATGAATAGAGAGTGGATCCAGCCATTGGAATTTGACCTCTTGTGTCTGAAATTCTTCGCTGGCTTCTGTCAGTGAGTTGGGACAGGTGGAAGGGTGCACGTGTTGGCTGTTCTGTGTTTGCTGAGCAGGACAAAAATGTGCCAGATTTCCACCAAGCTGAACAGATAATAATATACACATGAGCTCTGATAACTTCTTTGTTTGGAATGATGAATGATAATAGCACTAAGAAAATTACTTCATGATTTTGAAATTCTGTATTGCAAATGAAATTTGAGGTATTATCCGATGAATGCCTCATAGGCACAACTCAGTAAATGAAAAGCCTGTTTGTGCTTCAGACAAAGAAAATTATTTCATTTATCCTGGAAACTTTTCTAAATGGACCTGAGGCTACAGCATTATTAGCTACAATTGTCACTGATCTTAAAAAGTTGTTCATTTAGTGACAAACTCCAAAAATTAGGCAGAATAAAGTATATGACTTTGAGTTGTCAAAAGTTAATGAGTTATCTAACTCAGTGTTTAGATTACAGTTGTGGCTAATAATGCAGATGACGCTCTGAGTAATTATTTTCTGGTTATCACTAAGGAATCTTTCAGAAATGTATCTTTTCTAATACTTCTTTTTCCCATTGTCTTACAAGTGTTCAGAAGAATGATGTCAACTGTTATTCATATTCTCACTTTGTATGGATGGAGCTTCTAACTAATCTAGGTAGGAAAAAACAGACAATTTCCTTGGTACACAAATTCTTCAGGGCAGCCTGGGGTTGAAATGGTTGTTCCCTTCTCCAGAAACCTTGGCTATGTTTGAGTTATAAAGAGCACAACAGCACTAGAACTTCAAATTTAACCTTGACATATTAGAGTAAGTTCATCAGATGTATTTCCTCACTTTTTAAAATAGAGTAGTATCTTGATAACAAGCTTTTGAGAGTAATCAGCTCTTTCTTAAATTTATTGCATGTGAATATTATTCTCTGAAAAAGAAGAGACAATGACATAACTTTAACTATTTTCTCAGAAAGCAGGTCTTAATGAGGCAAATTGATTTTCCTTATTTGCCACATAAGCATTTTGGGTAAAGCTTCCAGTGAACTATCTCTTCAATATGATCAAACTTAAAACTCATGGGTATTTAAGTGAGTGATGTTTTTTAAATCAACAGTTTATATTATTTTGAGAAGTGCTCTCGCTAATAACCCCTCTTGCTCAAAGGCTTGCTCACTGTCTGCTGTTTGAAGAGTGAAAATCAAATGGATGTAACAGGCTGTGCCTGACCTTTGGGCAAAAGAAAAGATGGAGAAGGCAGTAGTGATACAGTAGTATAAAGTCTTATACTTTGTCCTGGGATGACTTTATGATACTGGTATCCCCAGCCACCCAGTTTATGTTACATATTAAGTTCTGCACCTTTAAGACTGGCTCTGAGAGTGAAGGGGGTGAAGAAGAAGTGGCTCTGAGAGTGAAGGGGGTGAAGAAGAAGCCGCAGTTTGTGTTGAAAGAAAACATCACTCCCACACACCCCGCTCCTGGACTGTGGTGTCTGCAGCACGGACAGACAGCGGGACAGAGCTCTCCTTTGCTTTTAGTTAGTTTTATCCAGCTGAGGC